TTTGGATGAAACACACATTTTGCAGAAACACATGCGTGATCCATAATTTGTCACGCATTTAGCACAAATCTATGCGTGATAACGAATTATCACGAATTCAGGGGAAATGTATTTAAAATTAAAAGAAACTGGTTTTATTTAAAATTATAGGTCCTTATATAGATAATCATGCAGAAAAAATTCAACTGAATAGAAGCCAATTTATCAAAGAAAGTTTCACCCATAAGCATTAAATAGAATATTTTGTAAATAGCATTTAGTTTTCCATATCTGTTGTGTTTGGAAATTGTTTGTACATGTCCCTCATTCTTTTAACGCCAACATAAAGTCAATGGCTGCCGAATGTCTGAAATCAGACGGCTACAAGTACCAGTAAATGAGTCATTTGGGAGTACTTAATATTTATGTGAATATTTATTTAACTGACTAATAAAATTTTTTTGTCAGTGAAATGTTTAGGTCAACATAGTTCGGGTGCTTAATTACATTGAAACTAAAAATATTTTTGCTTATGTCACCGTTATTGTCAAGACACACTCCCTGAATTCGTTTTAAAACAGCTTCAACGCTCAGATCGTCGGAGAGCCTGGGGCCACACCCCCTCGACCTCAGCTGAGCTCCGCCTCTGGACCCCATCCCCCCCCCCCTCAGCCAAATGGTGTAGTCACTCACGCATTTCAAATCTCTCAGGTTGGTAACTATGCTAGAGTAAACAATTTAAGGGCCTGTTATTGGCAAATTTGCGGTGAATTAAGTTATAGTTAGGTGTAACACAAACTGGCGTTAAAACAAACCTATGAAAACTTTAATAAATACTTTATCTAAACTTTCTAAATTCGACTCTGAATGTTATTGTCGCAGTACTTAAAGCAATAAATCAATTTTGCTATCACAATTATCTTCTTCATTCTCATATACAACCTAACTCTAGAGTAACTTCGAAGAAGTCTCTGGCACAACGCTTGCTTGAAATTGGAGGTGCCATCGGACCCGAAAGATCACATCGAGTTCTACATAAAGAACACTGTAGCACCTAGGCCTATACAATTCAAGTAGGCAATAATAAATTAATTAAAGTACAGTATTTAATTTATATTCAAAAGATATTCCAAAGAGATAGAACCTCCACCAGGATGGAACATATGCAAACACACACAATATATGGTACAAACTTGCATTGAACTGTCTTCATAAAGCATAAACGAGGATGAACTTCATATAAAATAATAATATTTCATCCGAACAATTTAAATTATTAAATGTAACTGTTATCTTTTAAATAAACTCTCGGCATCCAATCGGCTAAAGGGGTCCGGGTAACAGGCCAAGATTAAGCGTTTAGTACAAGTACAAACGAAGGTACATGATTAGAATCAAATATAGAATTTAAGCTAACAAAAACAACATATCCAAAACAAGTCTACGTTATATTAGGCCTATATTGAAAAAATGTGAACTTTTTAAAAATTCGGCCAAATTCGGCCAAATATATTTTGGCTGTGACTTTTCAAACGTTACGGCCAGGCAAATTTTTATACGGCCAAATTTGAGGAATCTGGCCGTCAAAAAGGCCAAATGGCAACCCTGGTTAGTAAGATCTTTGGCAAGATCTTTGATTGTAAGTAAGTAAAAGAGGGCGCCCGGTGACACTGACAGTCAGTTGACAGTGTACATGAAATCCATCAACACTTTGATGGGTATTAAATGTATGATGAATTTGCATACATAAATACATTCACATAATGAAAAGAGAGAGCAAAAAGCAAAATTCTGTTGGTTTTTTATGAAACGTTTTAACTATCCTTGTCCTCTTGTTACTCCTAATCGTAGATTTTTATTGCATGACGGGTGCAAGGTGGTGATTTTACCTTAGCACCTTCATTGATTTGAGTTTTTATTTTGATTGATTTTACTATTTAGCATGGTAATTATGATAAGTTTTACAAAAAAGATGTTTACAAAAAAATAAAGAAAAAGAAAGGGACCGGCGTACGCCCATTACGCCCCTCTAAATCTGCCACCGTAAATAACACTAGAAAGCTAACATCAACGAAGATAACCTGAGATTACAAGCTCCGCCCTGTTACGCAATGGCACCTGTGCTGAAAAAATAATGGTATTTATGTACACTGTAGCCTTTTTCCCAATAAAATGAATCCTTTAAAAATTTAAAAATTCGCATTCTAATTCAATTAGCAATAATTGATTTATTTATATACTATTATATAATGTTCATTATATATATCTGTCTCTTATACACATCTTAGTATAGTGATGCATTTATTCTTGATGATATTCTTGAAAGAGTTGAACATGTTCCTGGGTGTCATCATAGATGAAAAATTTAACTTAAGCAATGAAAATACAATTGCAAGTAAATTATAAAATTATTGGTGCTATGAACATTTTAAAAGCTGTTCTACCTTATTAGGTAGACCTACTTCTCATCATTTATAAATCACACATTATTCTTACTTATGGTTATCAATATGGGGCTCGGGAAATAAAACTAATCTTAACAGAATTCATATACTTCAAAGGCACTTCGCATAATTTGTAATGTTCATATCCGTTACCATTCAAAGCCTCTTTTTATTGCAACAAAACTATTAAATATATTTTATTTTGTAGGATATTGGTAGGTTCAAACAGGTATGTTGTTGAATAAGTATAAGTAAGTTGAAATACACACAGAAGGAACATACAACCACACAACTCCTCTGTATGGTACTTAACAAATGACTAATTTATTCAATATACTATACACAATATGTATAAGATGAAATGGGCGTGGTATCGGTTCCATAAGTAACAAACAGCATAATGTATCTCTGTTTGGTAGAGGATGTGGTTTTATCCTAATTAAGATGTTGCCATTGGTCTGAAGTAAAGTTCTTATACAACCAGAGATGTGTGTATCTGTGCAATAACACATATACTTCAATGTAAAGAGTGGACTTTCACTTTGATCTTGATTGATTGATAGGCTTAACTATGAAACAAAGAACAATTTGAATTGACTCTAAGAATTGAAAATATAATCGTACTCAAGGTAAAAAAAATATAATTATTATAATCAAATCTAATTGTGTATTTGTCCTTTTTATAAATTAAAATATATACTGTATACATTCATATTAAATTTTAAAATTAAACCATAGGCCTACTTTTCGTAAAATAATTATATTCTTCTATGTATTTTCAAATTCAATTATAATGTATTTCAAATTTGTTTAAATTCATTCAAATATTAAAAAAAAAATCCAAAAATACTTCTTTATTTGTAAATTGTTTGCTTTATATTTAATTCATGGACCATTTGTTAGAACATATTTTTTTAATGAAAATGTTATCCATGTAAAATATGTTTGTAAATAAAAAAATAAATAAATAACTAAGCCTATGCAATTGATAACATCGGCTTTGCCGATAGACTTAGGCCTATATGAACAGAATATTTTAACTTAAAATCACAAAGGAAAATCACCAGACTCATTCGATGATTTTTCCATACCTTTGAATCCCACCATAACCACAATACAAGAAATAGGCAAACACAAATTTGTCATTGATTTCAAAAGGGCAAACGTCGGACAAAAATGTTTTTCTTACAGCGGCGTCAAGGGTGTGGAACATTATCGGATGAGTTTAAAAATGGTAAAAACAATTGTTCCTTTAAATATAAAATTAAATGAGCGGTATGAGGGTTTACGAATATGAGATGGTTCGATGTATAAATATCTGTATAGGCCTATTTTGTAATAATCTTTTATCAACCACTTCTACATAATACATTCACTTTATTTCTAATTGATGCCTAATTATATTGGTGAAAATTTAACTTACAGTAGGTCCTTAATGTCATTTTCTAAGTTTTATTATTTCATATAGGGCTAAAAGCATTCTTATTCGCAGAGTTCCTTTTTCACGAAACGATAATTTTCATGTACTTATATTCTCTTATCATTATAAATTATCACACATAGGCCTACTGCAGATAAAAGTGAAATAAATATTACTTGAATTGAATTAAAAAGCCACCGTAAAAAAAACTTTCAGTAACAATACGTTATTTAATAAGCATATAAAAGATGAATATGAAATACGTACAGAAGTACTTAAATGCCGCTAGCGAAACAACTTCAAGGCTTCACTGTAAAAGGCTATGCCGCATTATCAGGCTTGATGCGCTGTGTTAAATCTCCCTCAATATGGAAATTAGTATTTTGACAGAGGTCTTTTTTTTAATCAATGGGGATGAGTTTTATATGAAAAGAACCTGTCAATGTTTAGCTTTCTTTATCGGAGGGAAACAAAAACGTTTTCGATTACCAAGAACCGTAATTCATTTCAATTCAATTCACATTTATTTCCTTCAAAAAACGTAAACGTAAATACATTTTTGTAATTTATACATTTTATTTGTAAATACTGCAATAATAATTATAATCATATAAATAATAAT